TTATGCGACATGTATTCCGTAGTTACAATATCTAACTTCTTTAATAACTTTATGTCAATGTCTTTTTATCTAACGCGACATAAACATCAGTAATAATATAATCAGAATATTCGTTGAATATTTGAGAAAACTAAGTTTTTTATCATCAGCGTGGAGACCCGTATTTTATAATTTTATTACGATAAGAAATATCTGGTTAACCAAAGTGAGGTCAAATGAAGAAGCGTCAACATCCATTTGACAAATTCTATCTAAATTCTACGAGGACCGAAGTAAGGAATATTAAATGGGGAATATGATAATCGAGAAACCGCTGAATAATCGAGAAAACATCTAAATTTTATTCATTCTATAATCAAATAAAATCAGCACAAAATTAGCGATGAATACTAAAAGATCATGATAATTATTTTTGTCGAGAAAGGAGAAAGGTTATTGTTTTTCAACTTTTTAATTTTTTAGTATAATTTACACAAATAAAAATGTAGTTAAAAAAACCGCGCGCTAATTTACTCTATAAGTATTTATTTTTATTTTCATTTTATTGTCTCTATAATTATCTTTCTTCCACAAGTGGAAATTATCGAATCTAATAAAAGATACTACGATCGCCAATGACGGTGAACATTTGTCGTATGTTGCAGCTTCATTTCCGGTCCGCTCTCTTGTTCTCTCTCACCTTTCTCCCAATCTCTCGTGCTTCTTTTACTTTGGAGTAACGGAGAAACGGCGTAACCTTATGTCTGCACGATAGTCCTTCGAGTAGACTGAAATCAGATTGGGTCAGATCAGGTTCGCCTCTCCTACCTTTTAAAACAAAAGGCAGCATCCTGGGAAAATTTCTTCTCGACTGAACGGTTCAATATCTCCTTCCGTCTCCGTACAATTCTTCCTAACGATTTTTACTAGTATAATACAATGTGCACGTGCGACTAATCCAATAGTAAACGCGCAGCATTTTCTATCACTTCGTAATTCTATCACTTCGACGCTGGTATTCTTCGTTGGAAGGTCTTTCTCATTGAATGAGTTAGCAAACAAAAGGAATAATTTACTTATAGAAAAAACAAAGAATATCTCTGTCTATACATTTTAAAAATATATCATAAAACGCAAAATATTAAAAAAAAAAGATAACAGATTAAATTTTATTATCAAATTAAAAAGAAGACATTAAGTAGCTTATTTCGAAATTCTTAGTTTTAACACGTAATCTTCTGTTACATCATCATTTTTAACACGCATAATCTCTTTTTTATATCAAGCCTTCAACGCTGCAGCGGTTAATCAAGCAACGCGCGCAGTTTTATGTGTCGCAAGCCGGTTTAATTTAACGTTACGGCCACTGTCGACTGGCTGACTCGCTCGTCTGTTTCTCCTTCTCTCTGTCGAGTCGAGCGACTCGAAATGCGGAGGGGTCTCGCCGCGTCTCGCGCACCGAGGAAGATCGAATTTGCGAAATGGCTGTGTACGAGGGCTGAATACCTGACGAGGTAATTCGCGAGGGCACCAGCGCGCGGGCGCGGGAACAACGTAATGTCCCGTGGAAAGTAGAAAGGAAAAGCTCGTAAAGGGAGCGAAATTCAAAGTAAATTTTCCAAAGTAGGCGGCAGTGCATTACGGCAGCGCCATCAATTGACTTTGTTAGGGAAAATAGTTGTCGTCAGACGTGCGCGTTTAGTCGTTTTCGCAACAAGCTTTTCGATCCATCTCTCTCCCCCCCCCCTCCCCCCGTGGATCTATCCCTGAATCTGAAGGATAACGTCGGCGTGAAAAGGTGAGTGAGAACGGCACATCTAATCCGCGAAAAATACAGTCTTGTTCACCGCATAATAAAATTCATTTAAAACTGATGGAAGAACTACTTACGGATTCTGAATTTTTAACACCGCACCATTTTTGCGATAAAGTTAAATAAAATTTCTTTTAAAGTAAAATCTAAAGATTAACTACGGGGAAAGGCCTCTCACTATCCATCTCTTGAATCTTAACTTACGGAAACTAAACTTTTTCATCTGCAATGTTAAATATCTTTCTGATTACAACTTTCATCAAATCTTCATCAAGCTGAAAATCGATTCCGCATATTACGCAGTTACGATAAATGCGAGGCAGGCTTTGCATAAAGTTGGAATCGAGTAAAATCGTATTACATGTAGTACAGACTTCGATTTTGCCCACCGCACATTAAATCCTGCATATACGTTTGATTGAGCATCGCCGCCCTTAATTGCGGGATTTAATCAACACTTTTCTTTGTCGCGAATTGTCAAACGCGCTGAAGTAGGACAAAGGCGCGCGGTATCGATAGAATTACGAAAGGCGAAGTCGCGAGAGAGAAAGAGGGAGGAAAGAAAAAGGAGACGAGCGGTCGGTGAAGAGAGAAAAAGCGCGGAGAAAAAGAGCCGGATCGCGCGGTTTTCATCTGCGAAAATTAAGGCGGAATCTGCCGGTGGTAAGAAAGTCCGTGCTAATTAAGGCTGTTTCTTTAGAGATTCCCCTTTCGCGGCCGGCCCCCTCGGCCTCGGCTTTTAAATAAATTATACCGAGTTAAAAGCCTCTTCGCACTTCCTCAGATAATCCGCAAGACCGTTTCGCTCACCAAAGTTATACCCGCGGGAGAAATCTCGCGCCGGTGGAAAAGGACGAGCCGAGCGTTCTTTTCCCCGCTTATAAGGGTAGGTATGCCGCGGGACTATAATGCCGCCGAGTGATCTAACGCGGGAATACTTTCTGCTGCAATTACGTTATAAAGCAAACAAGAATGCTCATCCCCGGCCCCATTCTCATCGTCCGGGTCTTCTTTACGAAAATGCGATTAGTCCGCCGAGCCAAATTCAATTATTTTCCACGTGGCGATCAACGATGCTTGCGCGAATCTCTTTTTGCCCGATAAATCACCGTAAATGGATTTATTGGAAATGATTACCTGATAATAACCGCGCGCCCAGGATACGTTTCTAGAAAATAGTATTTTATACGTTATTAAGAAAATTTCGTTGTGTAGAGAAAGTACGTTATATATAACAATTATGAAACTATCGATGAAACTATCAAAAGACGAAAATCCTTCGACATAGGAAACATTGGATAAGAGCAGTTACAAACGCATCCCCAGTCGGCTTTTCAGGATTTCGAATTCTTCGTCTCTTGTAGGTGTCGTCGAACGATAGCGAGTCATCGTTAACACCATTGTTCTCACGGTACTCCCAGGGCGTTAAGAACGTCCCGCGGAGCCTTCAAGTTAAGTAGATGTTTCTCGGTACGTCGGGTGCATTTTTAAATAATTCGATGCAAAGCAGCCGAGAAAAGGCGCGAATTCCCTCCCAAGAGGTCGCGGGAATGACGGGGAGGAGAAGCGCGGTACGGTGAAAGAACGAATGGAATTTCCGTGGGATTCGCTCCTCCTCGCGGCAGACGTGGCTGGAAAGCGCGAGCGGTTCGGAGCGACTTTTACAACTTAATTTTTGCGTATTTGCGAGCTGCGACGACGGCGGCTTGCTGGCTTTGCGGGAGAAAAGTAAATTTTCCGACACGTTTGCTCGCGCACATGGCGTCGCGTTCGTAAGCAGCAGTGTGTCGCCACCGGATTTGCGTCAGAATTTTATTAATTTGTTACTCACCAATTTTATGTGTCACGAAGAAAAGCGAAGATAGGTTTAAGCAGTTTATCGAATCTTTATTGGCCATTCAATAAAAGTATGTAAAGTTGAAGACTCGCGGTCAATAATAACATTCAGTCTTAACAAATTCTTTGAGAGAAAAATGATTTCAATTTGACCAAAGAATTCGCCTACGTTGCTTTATCGATACACAGGCAACATTATTTCTATTCATTTAAAATTTATTATCCTTATTTCGATCTTACGCTTTTCAAGATATTATATTACAGATCTTCCCGCGTTATCTAAATGTAGAGAGGTTTCTACGGGCTGACTATCAAGTAGTGAAGATAAATGCTAACTCCAGCCATAAGATATCACTAGGTATGCCGTGGCGCACTTACCAATACCAACGCACCTCTGTCCTTATAGATGTTTATATTATAAATTTATATTGTATAGCGAGACAAGATAACGTAAAAGGAAAGAGAACTAAACTCCGACAATTGTTTAAAGACGTAATCAAGCACATAATTTTTTAGATATTGTATCCCAATTAAATAATAAAAATATATGTCTATAAACGTTTCGCACACAAAAATCGAGTGTCAACAAATTGCTGACTAATTTGTCTTTCACGTCAACTCTAAATCCCACAAATTGCGAATCAGATTGCTTGTACAGGTTACTATATAAGACGGTGCGGTTCCGAATGGGAGCTGACTATCAAGTAGCAGGGATGGATGCCAGGGTAGACGGTATTAACCACTCCACCTATTGGTATTGGCACGTGCACGCGGAGAAAATATTGCCGAGTCGAGAATTCGCGAATAAATCTAAATAACCTTCGTATCGGGATATCGCAGTCTTTCGTATCTCTCTATCCCACGTATTTATTAAAAACAGCAATGCTTTTTTTGGGATGATTTTTCTCTCATATTAACGGATATATACTAGATTTTATTTTTCACAGTCGAATAAAAGGAAAGTTCGGAAGAAAGGCTTCATTGATTTCATTTATACTTTATTCAACATTCAAATATCTGAATATAAAATACTGGACAGATTTATACAATCATATTACGTAAATCAGTGTAGAAAACTCGAAAGTAACAATATGGCGTAATTTAAGAACCGCAATTCATATAAATATTAATGAAATTATTAAATATCTGAGATATTGAATATTTCGATTTACAAACATATTCCATAAAAGACTTATCCATAATTTATTAGAAATTATATTATTCATTTTTTTTTTCGAAAGATATTTTATTCAGTTGCAAATCAATCGTTGCGTACTCTCAAAAACATCAGAGTAATTTTCATATAGTATCACTGAATAATTATCAACAAAATTTGCAAGTAAAAATAAGTAAATGAAAATTCGGCCTATCATATTTAAGTCGGTGCAATCTTTTGTAGAACGGAAAACTATAAAATTGCCAAGACGCACCTTCTCGTTGCATAATTTAATTATTTTTAATTCACATATTACCTATCCGCTTCTCTGTACGCACCGAACAGAATCGAAGCGACGATGCACTAATACTTTGCCAGGCGAATCGCAGAAGATAGCGACACAAAAAAACGAGTAATTACCAGAAGTAAGAGTCCATTTTATCTACCGCCGCGCTTCGTCAATCCAGATTCAACATTTCTCCAGACGTAAAACTGTCCCCGCGATCATCCTTCTGACTTCTATCAATGTGACCGTCGGGCGACATGTCTTTGCCGGCGAAGCGATTACCGAAATTCAGAAAATCCGAACAGGGGCTGCCGGTCTACACAGGTGCGGAGAAATGTTCTCTTTTTCTCGTCGTTCTTATAGTAATAATTTTCAAAAGTGTTTACTTGAAAAAAGTTATCCGCATCATTCTCCATCGGCGGCTGCCGGTGCAGTCTCGGCGACACGGTCGCACACTGCTGCAAAGAGTTATTATCGCAGAACATCGTGTTTTCCTGCAATCAAACGCCAAATATTTCATCAAATAGTTAGACTGTTAGTCGAATATCCAATCAAACTTTGTTAAAGAATCCGTCGTTGGTTCCAATCATCGTTGTAAATCATACTGAACGAATGTTTTCTAACGCTTATAAGTTGATGATTAAGGTTCATTATTTAAAAAATAATTAGAGAGAAAAGAGAGAATATGATTTTACTTACGAATTTAGATTTCTCATCGATAACTTTGACGATATCACCTTCCTCGGTCGTAGTGATAATGCCAGTACCGAGCTTCTTACCGAGTATTTTTACCTCTTTCCTACATCCCTCGAATGCGGGATCGACGATATTAGGTACGTAAACATTCTGCCCATAGGCGTTCTTGAGGAACTGCTCGTAAGGACTGAGAAATCTTGTATCTTGATAGTGCGGGACTACTAACTCGTGATTGTGATTCTTCGGTCCCAAAATCTTCACCTCGTTTAGACCGGGATATATTTTCGGGGGTGGCAAACAAAACTTGTCACTAAAAGGCTGTAAAATTCGTCGTAAAAATGTATCGCGTGTATTCTCAATAAGTGTTCGCAAAAGATCTTTAAATGACCATACCTTCATGCACTGGCTTCCGGAATCGAGCATCTTCATGTCCGGTTGACCGAAAGACATTAAGCCGGTATCGCAGTCATCGTCGAAGACTGAGGACAATTTCATCTTCGAGTCGTATTCCGAATGATGATCTTCCATAGGGGAGACACCGAGAATATTTAGATCTTCCGTAAGACTCTGATTGCTCTTTAGGTACGGTAGTGTTTCGCCAAATAATGATAATGGTGGATGATTCTTCATTAGTAGAGACGATAACGAGGATTGCGAGCTAGTCGATAGGTTCGAGGGATGACCCAAGATGCTCGTTAGATCCGGCTGGCTCGACGTCACGGCCATTGCTGGGGATCGGCAACCATTGACAAAAGTTATGAGCATACGACTGTTTTAGAACTAATTTCAAACATCTCAAGAGACTTAGCGTGGCTGTAAATTTGCATACGTTTGCTCCTTCTCACATTAATTCAGATTTTATAATTAATTATTAGCTACTTAGAAAATAAAAGAACTGTTGAAATTGAAATCAACTCTGACTTATACTTGAAAAAATGTGCAACGGTCTCGAACACCTGAAAGATTTTTGTAAATCGTGACATTACGGCGCCGATCCACCTACCATCTTCATGCCCGACAAGAGCACCATCGCCATCGATAGGCAGAGGTTTGGGACCCAGCAGGAGATCGTCGATTTTGGTCTGAGAAAGGAATGCCATGCCATCCGCGAAACGATCGTCGAGGCTTTTACTGTCGAGAATTCTAATGTCTTTATCTTCGAGCATCTCGATGCTGTCCATTGGCATACCGCTGGGCTTCTGGCCAGATTCCAGCACCATGATCTGATTATCGTTGTCGCCGATGATGACGTCGCCGTTATTGCGTATATTCACGAGATTGATGGCGTCCGCCTGTTCGCCGTCAAGAATCGTTACGTCGTGGGAATTCTGCGTCATTAAGTCGCGGGCCTCGCTGTTCGTCATGACCTGCAGCCATAACGCGTGCACATAAGGGCATTGAACTGTTTAAAGCTTCGTCATGATCGGAATAATTTATTCTGATAAGACGAACTGTGCGACACATACACGTAAATTTGATGAAAATACGTTTTTATTATATTTTATAACCATAATTCCTGTAGTTACAAAAAATCATAATTCTATGTAACTACAAATCGTGAGATCAACCTTAGAAATAAATCTGAAATATTATGTGCAACATAAGATCGAAATGGTGAAGGCTTCTTAAGATTTTAAACCAGATTCATCTATCAATTTTAAATTTTATGAATGAAAAAAATCAATTAGCTTTCCAAAATTACTTCAGAGAATCACGAATAGAAAGGATTTAATTAAGACTCTTGTAGCGTTTGAAGTCTATCGATATAAATGTTAAAATTAATCGAGTTTCTACGATTAATTTGAAGAAGCGCCGAAGATAAATTACAGCGAACGCTATACATTCCTATAAGAACGTTACACAGCACGTTTCGCAAACGCGGCAGCGTAGCGGTTCTCTAAATAGGGAACTCTATGTAAAGGAATGAAGGCGCCTGACATGAATACTCCGAATGTATCGCGCCGGTCGCGCGTACAGTAAGTCGAAAAGTCGATCGAAAAGACGTCGACGCCGTAATACTGGTTCTGCGTAAAGAAAAAGTACGTCGCTCTTCCAAAGATAAAGATGTCGAGAGACGATGTTATGCCTTGGGATTCGTGCACGCTCTTGCATTAAATTCCCGTCATATCAACAATTGTCTTTTTCTCGATTTTTACCCAAGTTTATTATCAGCAATCATAAAGGCACAATTATCATAGACTATTTCTTAAATCTTTTAGAGCCCGCGAAAGTATCGTAGGAACAATTGAATTAAATTATAAGGAAAGTTATTTTAAGCTCCAACAAGGGGATATCATCCTGTTCCCGACACGTGACTATTACCGGACGCACCGCTACGAGCGCTAACACAGCTTCATATACGTTGAATGTGGTAATCGTTTCTACATTACCTCGTAACGACCGTCCTCCGTGGCGCGAACAAACTGTATTCCACCTTGCGCAGCCAGTTCTAGTAACTCATTACATTCGTCCATCGACGTAGTTGAACTCGGGCCATTTTGCCGGTCTGGCTCGTTGCGATTGAGCACAGACGGAGAGAACTGCGAGTCCAACGCTGTCACCAGATCATCTGACGACGACAGATTAAAGAGAGGAGCACGTCTCTTTCTGCCTCGTCTCGCCTCGCAAAATTGACGAGAGAGCTTACCTTGCTCCTGTTCCGCGCCGGGAGGCTCGATGATGAAGCTGGATCTACCATCGGGTTCGATATTCTGCATCACAGTGGCAACTACCGGTACTTTCACCTGAACAGCTTTATTACCGTCAGTGTCTGAATTCTCGGCAGGATTTAAAGTTATTTTTCCTGCTATTCGCAAATCTTCGGCAGTCGCAGGTGTAAGAATCTATAATAAATGATACATATAATTATTATCAAACACAACAACTGAATATGTTGGATAAATAAATATCAGTAGATATTTCTATTAATACACAGGAATTATTGTTTGTAACATACTAACTTAAAGGAAGCTGTCGGGACTATCAATAGCAAAATAAACAAATATACTTGCAAAATATGCAATCTACTTGTTGTAATATAACATGTAACTTTGAATAAGCTTTTTGCAAAGTCAACTAAATCCTGAGCCTCATCAAGTATGTTAGTACGTAAAAACAATAAATTATATTAAGAAATTTAAAAATTTTAATTATCTTTACTATAACTTTGACGTTTTTCAATTATACATAAATTCATTTACTTAATTTCTGATTAATATATAATTAATCTTATTATATATATTTTACTCGGCGCGTGATTTTTTAAACAACACGAATATTTTTCGTGCTCACTTATCTCTCTTTCGCTAAAAACCTAAATTTCCAAGATGATTTAATTATGTTGATAACGTGCAAGTATACTTACGTGCTTATTATTCGCAGTAGATGAAATCTTAACGAGTACCGGTATACCTTTCGCAGGTTTGTAAAGAGCGAAAGGAATCTGGCCTTGGAGCAATGCCATTTCCATCGCTTTCGTATCAATTTTGTTTATCACGATGCTGTCCATCAAATCCGACTTTCATGAAATAGGATTCCAAAACTAATTACAAAATCCGTAATTCGTTGTATTCACCGTAAATCAAATATATACTAACCGAGCCGAAATAATCCTTCTCTTTGCTCTCACTTGTTTGATTTCGATCGCCGTTGTACAACTGAATAATCCTAACGTTTTTGCTGAAAATGTATAATCACATACGCGCGCTAAAATATATCTATAATTGAATCAATTTTGCATCGTGGGAAATAATAATTAAATATATAAGCGCTTTGATCATCCACCTGCGGGAAATTAACTAATTAAAAGAGATCTGTTTTACAGAAGATTGACCTGTGAAATTATAATTAATTGCCTTTAAATTCATCTATTTTTGCGGTGTCTTCCTTTTTATATCCAACAAAAATACCAATTAGTAATCTGGATAACAGAGGGATTAATATTTTTAATTAAATCAGTTTGGAATTTACCGTTTGCATTCTATGGATATTTATTCGAGATGGCAGGCAAATTCCAACGATTTTTTTCAGATCGTTTACACATTTATTGCGCCAATGATTACGGATTGTAAATCGCAGTTAACGTCGCAGCCACTTTCCCACATACCTTTTCCCGGTGTTGGGCTCGTTCACAGCGGATTGCGCGTTGTTCGTGCTTCGGTACTTGATACCGTGCTTGTACTCCTCGTGCGATCGCAAAGCAAACCTGCGCGGAAACTCCTTTCCGCAGACTCCGCACGAATACTGCATCTTGTCAGCGTGTGCGTGCGCTTTCACCTTGTGACAGACCAAATTCGACATCTGATTGAAACCCTTGCTGCATAACTCGCACTTGTACGGCCGTTCATTTGTGTGCGTGAACACATGGTTTCGTAAATTGCCTGAAAATACATTCATTTCGAGATTTTTGGGTGGCATGTGTGTTTTATATGTCGGTTTACGTTACAAAAGTACATAATAAAATCATTGGATATGAATAAATCTAAAGGAGAAAAAAAGGGGAAAGAAGATTTTATGACAATCAAAAATTCTTTCGAGAGGAATTTGCCGGTGCGAGATAACAGATTATTGCATAATTTATATTTTTACGTCGTACCCTTTTGATGAAATCCTTTACCACACACGTGACACTTATGCGGCTTGTGTTCCGAGTGCGTTTTCCGATGGGAGATTAACGTAGATACTCTGAAATACATATTATTTTAAAATCATGTGCAAGTTAATTTTATGATTCAATTGAAAACAATGGTGCTCAGAGCCATAACTGGATGTATTTAATCAAAATTATAATTTACAAACTTTCGGTCTCTCTTTAGACTATCTTCAGTGTAATTTGAACAATAGAAACCGGTGAATTAAAAAAATATATAATAAACATCCAGTTATGGGTTTGAGTACCTTTGTCTTCAATTGATTTGTTAATCATTTGAGCCTCTTTATATTTATTTTAATTTTATAAATAAATACTAAAGATACATTGGCTGCTGTCAGTTAAATATAAAACTTAGGCTACGGTCCACTTAACACTACAAATGCTTCGAAGCATTCATCTTCTCTTTTCTTTCAGTGAAGAAAAAAGAAGACGACGCTTCGAAGCATTTGTAGCATCAAATGGACCGCAGCCTTAATGATTTCCTACCTGTTAAATGTTTTCTTGCAAAATTCGCACACATAGGGCCTGGCGTCGCTATGTATAGCTTTGTGCTGACTCAATGTTGACAACTGTCGGAAAGCCTTGCCGCAAGCCTCGCATTTAAAGTTTCTCTCGTCAGTATGAGTCGGCAAGTGTCTCATCAGAGTGTACTGATGGCGAAACTCTTTTGAACCTGATTCGAATATTAAACGTAAAAGTTTCTTATAACGAAAACAAGCTGTCGAGCCTTCCGAGTCGACATTAAAGAGTAATTACTCGTTACGCTACGAAATCGAATGAGAAATGTAAATGACATTTTCCACGAAAGAAAAAGATTTGTCATTTTTATTTTTAGCTCTAATATTTCTAATTTTTTCTTTTTTAATTCCATTTCTTATTTTTCAATTATTAGTTAATGAAAATACGGGAATGTGAGAATTGCCGTTCACATAAAATATTCTTTATTGGTTAAACAGATTTGCATATTATTACAGCGAGAAGCGTTACGTACAAATGCCGCATTCCCAGATCTTGAGCGTTTTCCCGTCGCGTTTCAGATATTTTACAAAATGCAGCCTGGATCGTGGATCATCCTTATCGATAAGCCGAGTTGTCGAAGGCAAAGGTCCTTCAGCAACAGGATGTGAATACACCACCACATTCTTATCCGGCGCGCTGACGCTTTGTTCGAAAATCTGAAAAGTTCGTGTTCAAACGAAAATACCAATAAAACGCTGAAGACAAAGAAATTCACAAAGTATCGCGATGAAGAAATGCTGTAAAGTTAAATCGCGTACGCAAAAGCTACGGTGCAATTTCGAGGATTGCATTATGCCGCGTAAAAGTACAGTTTCCAACAATGCTCCCCGCAATTATGCATCGCGATGTAGATAGGCAAATACTTGGAGCATAAAACTATAGAAACGGGCGTATGCAAATGACATTCTTCAAAGTAAGAAGAAAGGGGGGGGAGCAAACTAGATAAACGGAGCGACGCCCGTCGGTGAAATATTTCATATAAACTGCTGCTGTAGCGATATGCACTCGCTCTTGGCAAACAACTTGCCGCGCTAATAGTTGGACAAATATTTAAGATACCTTACTTTGGCACTTACTTTGTACCTTAACGCGTCCTTGCCGACGAGTTTCGAGACTGCGCCGTCGATATTGATCACTTCGGAATTTACAGTTGCATCCAGGTCCACGCATTCTTCCTTGAAAGTCATTTCACTCGTTCGTAAACCACTATCAATTATAAAATTATTATAGCAATTGATTACTTGGGTCAATTGATGATTGGGGACAGATCCTAAACCCGAAACACTCGCTACGTCACCGTTCTTCGATTCTGGGCCCGAATCTTCCTTCACGTAAACTTCGTAAACGCTTGATTGCCGCAATGGTTTCATAAATTAACGGGATTAATGAAATTAGAACGTATCGTATATAGATACGTTTTCTCTACTACAATAGATATAACTAAAACTATTCCTTTATATGTCTAAAAATTCACTTGAAGAAAACTAAGTATTGTTAACTCATTAAATAAAAGGGGGAAAATTTTCTTATATAACAATTGTACGGTTCGATAACACTGTTCAACCAAAAAAATACATAAGAACAAAGGTAATCGTTCCTCATAGTTTTTTAGGCGCTGAATATGATGCCATTTCTCCAACACGTCACATACAGTAGTTTCTATATGATAAAATAGGTACACTAAAGTACCTACTAAACTCAATTTCGTAATTTTATTCGCAAATTTCTCAAAACTGTAAATCGAGCTATTCAATAAACGGAATCATATTCAGTATTCAAAAAACTATGAGAAACGATATTCTTGTACTCGAAAAAAAATCATTTTTTGTTGAACAGCGTAATCTTTATACATCGATACTGGAAACAAGTAGTTCGTATCAGTGCTTATGTCGACTGCTTACGAGAACATTGTGAGCTCACCTGATAACTTCGTCCGAAATGGGACGGGGGAATTGCACCTGCGGATCATCGTACTGAGTTTCCCCTACAAAGTCGAAAAGTACATTCCGTAGAGAAATTGTTGTCTTATCTTAAAAATAATTACGACGGTACGTTGTGCCGTACAGGCACACATTGTATCATACGTAAGAAGCATATTTGATATTTCGAAATAACTTTATTTATTTCGCAAACATGCACTGTATTATTTTATACACGATCGAATGTTTTGTCGAAAAAGCATGGTTTTCGCAATCTATATTTTTACAAATAAATCCATTTTAAAAAAATATTTGATTTTTCAAGTGATCGAAGTGATTTTTCACTCTCAATGTCCATCCACGATGCCGATGTTTTCTTACTCGGGAAGAAATACGTTTACGATATTATTGTTTGTGGAAAAATTAATCGCGAAAGCCTTCCGCTTTTGTTACTACTCCGAAATTCCTTGGGAGGGAGAGGTCCCGTTTGTTTGGTAACGTAACCGTCTAATCGGCGGATGGCATCTCGAGCGAGATAATGCGATACAGTCGTACCGGTACAGACAACATGCATGCCGGCTCGTCTTATATACAGCGATATTACATCATGTAAACATCTGTCTCCAAGTTTCGTCGCGTTCATAAATTATGCATCAAGGTTCACGTGTATAGCATCGACACTCATTTTATATATGTATTAAATTTTACGTTAGTGGCTCTGTTAATGGATAGATAGTTATATCCGTACCGTTGTCAAGTTAAAATATAAAATAATTACATGATGTTAAATTTCTCGAAATATCAGAGCTGATATCTAGATACATTTAAATATCTATATTTGTTAATTACAAAAATATCCGTGTTAATTAAAAGCAAAGCTCGCGTAAAGCAAAGAGAATATAATCTAGCATAATTAAGCTACTTGTGAACACAATTTATTTCTATTATTATTCGTATTACGTGTGCAATATATATAACGTATAATATTACAATTTTATGATATAAAAATAGAATATAAAACTGATAAGTAGATTATATGTTTAATTAAAATAGAAAAAAAATTTTTTCCATTATTTTAATTAAGCAGTTTTATATTCTCGTTATTAGATCTTTATTATTTATAAATTACTGACATAATTTTTTTATTGCATTTCAGAGCATTTTACTCCGAAGTATTTCCTCCACATTCTACAATTACCAGGCACCGCTGCACACACGAACGGCAATACAATAGCCAAATAATGTCAACACAATAAAAAAAAAGAAACATACTATGAACGGCATCCTGCAGGAAGCGTCAACACCTCCGAGGATTCACAAGCCTAGAATCGTCCTTGGACGATGCACGACGCAGACTACGTTCACCGAGGTAGCACGTTTATTTTTTTTTATTCACCGAATAATTTTTACGTAAATCGAGAAAAAAAACAGCGGTTTTTTTTCTCGCACGCGACACGCGACCGATCTCGCCGAGACGTCACGTTGCATCGCGATTCGCGGCTCGGGTCTCGGCTTGTTTTGTCTGGCGTCAAATAAACGAAAGCCGCCATTATCAGAGCTCATTTTTCATGTGGTGCAGGCGGTGCCCGCTCGGCGGATCCGCGACTTATTGGCGAGACGAACAGCGAGAATGGTAGACGATTGTACTTACAGTTGTATCCTTGCAGCAAATTGCCGTGCGACATTTTCGCATCGATCGTTCTGCGCCCGTGGATCAGTCGGATCAGTCCCTGCCGGCCGGCTCCTGCCCCCCTCAATGTCATTCACATTGACCTCCACCGGATAATTCTTGGAATCAGGCAAAAGCACGCTACACGCGCACCCTCTGGCGAACGATTTATGCTCTAAAGTGCAGCAGGAGCGCGTCCTTTCCATCGCTAGTCTCGTTTTACAAGTGCTCGTCAAAATGCGGATTACCAACTCTTTTGCACATCTGCGAGCACAAAGAATCGTCTAAAAAGGTATATATATGTATATTGCATCTTATATATTGTATCTTTTAAATATAACAAAGAAACATGTCGATAAAATTTAGACGAAAATTGAAATATCTCTGATCAAGAAAAATACAAAAAAAGAATCTGATGGAAAACGTTATTGAATTTCTAAGTGTCTAAATTTGAGATTTTTAAGTTTCTTTAAGCATCCGCGTGTCGTCTTTATTTCTCTTTCTCACTTTCGCTTTCTTTCTTGCAGCCGAAGACGGGATATTTGCGTGTATAGCATTAATATGCCGGGAAACATCTGTACGCCATTCGATCGGGCGGCGCGACGAACTAACGGAAACCATCTCCGAGGTCGAAGAACTACTTCCCCCTGCTTTCGAATTCCGGTCAGGTATGTCGACAGCGGCGCTTTCCACCTACCGACATGGACTCCGCCATACTTGCCCGACTCAATTATGACTTGCTACTTCTTGTTAGCCGCTGTTTAAGTTACTCCGGGCCTGCCTGCCTTCCTTCCTTCCCCTTCCTGGTTGCCTTGCTTGTCCTTATTCTAGTCAGCCGAGTCACCTGTCAGTCTCCTCCCTCGCGAACGCTGAGAAACGCAGATTTTTTTTCACCCAGACGTCTTCTTCTGCAGGAAGAGGCGTTTAAAGCGTGACGGACTAAATATTTCAGAGAATTCTAATTTTGAAAGAAAATATTTGCACCAAGAAAACTTTCAAAGTGGATATTTTTAATTATAACAATAGCCAAGTAATAGGCGTCTCGTTTATCGCCTTGCATATAAACGTTTCTTAATATCAGCTGCGAAATTGCATTACCTGTTGCTCGAAGTTACACCTACATACGTACGAATTTTAGCTTCTTTCGCTTTATAGTTTATTCTTTCACAAAGATTTAAACTCGCAGTACGAGTACGCAGTCACGCGATGTATTATTTAGTGAAAGCATATCGCGCTTCGCGATTGGTCCCGCTCAGCGAAAAAAGATGTGCTCGCGAACTATGCGCGAGTCGACGGCATCCACGCCGATGTTTGCCAGCTACTTGCAAACTGTGGAGGAAGTGACGGCAGTTCTCGCTGGGTGTTCTTACTGCGAAACTTGGCCTCCTCGGCGCGTTGCATGGGTGAAACAGAGCGCGCTTCTCTCTCGATAGCGATGGTGTTACGAACCAGCGGGGGAGAAAAGCTCTCGGGTGACGTCAGAAATTACATACGCGCTTCCGGAGTACGTACGCGACAATTTCGACAAATTCTACAAAATTCTAGCTGAGATATTCGATTCAAATCCGGAAAGGTAGATTGTAATTAAGTACTGTATACGAACACAAATTCTTGAAACTGATGACAGTGCGCGAGTGGCTTGATTTCTTCTTCAGGAACGACGAGGTGCATCTAAATTCGATTTTAGCAACAACCTTTGAGTTAACAATTCAACAAAATCTTTAGGATTTATTTTTACAAGTTCTTGGAAAAATGGGTCAGACAATTGTTGCATTGAAAAGCTTTCGATTTCAGATAGGATTTACTTGAAGAGAATGTAGTCTTTGCTGTTTAAAAAGAATCTTAATTTAAAGTTTTACCTTTGCGCAAGATGCACTTTTCGTATTTCTAGATGAGGCAATATCACGAGGAATTATATTCTTTTTGTCCTTTGCGTCATACATTCACGAGGTTCCCTCTTGGAAGCTTTTCGAATCGCTCGAAATTTTTCGCAAGATGTGAGATTTTCAAATGAAAGCGCGGTCATTAGAATGGCGAAAGAATTGTTTTTCTCGGGGAACGTTTGATTTACCTCATCAGCGAGTTCTTAACTTCGACGTGGGGCTTGAATAGCGGTCGGGTGCTCGAACGAAACGCTTTCACGAACTCGACTCCGGCGAGTGGCTGTAGAAAGGTGCGAGAATTCGAGAGAAAGAGGAAGAGATGGCGGCGAGATGGGGTTGCGATGGAGGAAAAAGAGGTAGGAGCGAGGGACCCGAGTCGAAATTTTGACCCTTCATTAAACCTTTAATTCTAAAATTTAGTAGGAGCTAAGATGTAAAGATAGGCTCAATTATAATGATATAATTTGCTCCTACTTTGACCCTAACGCTGTCTCAAATTTCCCTTTTCACTGTTTTTAGCGTTAAAATAGGTTGATTTATATAGGAGCTAAAGCTAGCAAAATAGGTTTAATTATAAACCTCTATTGACCCTTCATCTGCTATCTAGAATATACGTTCCCCCCACACTGAAAAAAAAGTAGTTAGATCCAAGAAAATATTTTTTCACATAGTACCAATGGTCTTATTTACTTAATATAATCACATATTTATTTAGAATTAGATATCTTTACTTAAATTAAATAAAGATATTTAATTCTAAATAAATATGTGATTATATTAAGTAAATAAGGCCATTGGTACTATGTGAAAAAATATTTTCTTGGATCTAACTATTTTTTTCCAGTGCAGGGATGAGTGTAACACATTATTTTCAACGCCAAATTTATATAGAAATTCTAAAAAATTATATGAAAAGTTCTGAAAAAAATTTTATAGTCCCGGTGAAAATTTTTCTCAGAATTTTTCATATAATTTTTCAGAATATATAATATATCTATATTTTCGGAACTTCTGTATAATTTTATATTTTTTTTCAGATTTTTTAATATAAATCTTAGATTATAAATCAGAAGTCAAATATTTCATGCGATTAGAATTTATTAGAAAGAATATACAATCAGGGGCTCGTTATGTAATGATTTACAATTTAATAATAATAGTAAAAGAACTTGTAACTACTTTTACAATTGTTATTTTTCTTGATTGTTTTCCTTTATCGCGTTCGTTTATTACATCAGCAGAAAAAATTTTTGTAGAAGTATCATGGATGACACCATTAGTTGATATTATTAACTTATGCAATTCATTTTCATTATCTGTAATAAAAATAATTTAATTAATTAATTAATTAATCGCAAAGAATTCGTTAAGAGTTCGTTAAGGGTTCGGTTTTATTTATATCTATTTAAACTTATTTTATTTATTTTATTTTATTTTATTTATTTTATTTTAATTATATTTATTTTATATTTATTTTTATTTTTATTTATTTATATTTATTTATATGAACCAAAGAATTTTTATTATTTGAAGCATTTTTTAAGATCTTAAAAATGCTGTTACATGGAAGCGTCGAGCGTCGTGCGTCAAGCGTCAAAGGCGCGCGCAGCACCTTTCCGCAGATGTGCAGAAAACGTGCAGAATTTAGCGTCTCGATGCAAGTTCGAGACATCATAAAAGTAAAGAGGTTATATACACTATTAACATTGAACATTTATATTTAATAGTACATGTGATCTTTTTACTTCTACGGCGTTTATTAAACTCGTGTCATTAGTCATTTTATTAACAGCAAGACGCTGAAATCTGCATGTTTAGAATAGAGCATTAATCCAGGACTTGGTTTAGACTTATGCGCAAGGTACTGCGCGCGTGTTTGACGCTTTGACGCTCGACGCTCGACGCTCCCATGTACAGCACTTTTAGAGGTATGATTTTTGCATAGGGGGTGCGACAACGCGTTACACGTGGTTCGGTAGCCAATCGCATCATATTACGTATTTCCCTACATATTTTTATTTCCAGGAAAAAATGGGAAGTTGATTAACTTATATTATTCCAAAATATATAAGTTACGTTATTGATCTTTAGCCTTATTACGTTTTTTATACGGAAACCATATTGACGGATTCATAAACACATTATTTCTCTTAATAAGTAAGCAAAGTAAAAATATGCTCTGCGAAGATTTCTAGATTTCCAAAGTGTTTAAGGGTTCATATAAATATTATAAATATAATAACCTACCGCTTATAGCAAGGATTTTTGCCAGAGCCTTTGTTTCTTCCTGTGTTTTAAAATCTTTCCAGTTTTACAATTTTGTTTATATGTCTGTCTTTCTTAGGTATCACTGATAATTTTACTACATCTTTTTGCTCGCTTTGAAGCCACCAAATTAATGCAAATTTTTTTACTTGAGGCATAATTCTTATATAAATAACTTCTTTATTTTATATTTCAAGATGTCATTTAAAATAAATGAATGATGCATAGCATACATTTACGACAAATTCAAAGCTGTTTCAAGTCTGAAGTTACTGCGAATATTTCATATCATATGTATATATAGCTGAACTCGTGTACACTCGTTGTACTTGAAATAAAATAGATATATATTTAAAGTTTGGCAAAAGTGTCTGTATTTAAAATATAATTAATTGTAAATATTTAAATATATAATATGTCGTACAAATCTCTTAAAGAAGTATGCAAAAAACAGCAAAATACTCGATTAAAAGCTTTTCTAGAAAATAGAAATGCGAGTATGTCACCCGTTCAAGACACTCAGATAATGTCAAATAACTAATGTTGTTAATAACTAATGTTGTTTTACCAATTAATAAAAAGGAACTTGAATAAAATTATTCGTTACTTCTCTTTTAATTGCCGATTTAATTTTATTTAGCATTTGTATGACATATATTTTTGCCTCGGGGTATAGCGTTAAAATTAAATCTGTAGAATTAAAAGTTTAAAAGAGGAGTTAATAAGTATAATATCATTAAAATAGGTTTTATTAGCTGTGGAATATCTCAGTGTCAAAACAGCATTAAAATTTTGGGAGCATTGTAGCTTCAAAGTAGTATTAAAATAAAATGTATAGAATTAGAGGTTTAAAAAAGAAGTTAATAAGTGTAATATTATCAAAGTAGGTTTTCTTTAGGTTATAGAGTATCTAAGTAGGTGCAAGCTATCCTTAAGAATGTCAAAGTAGTATCAAAATTTCGACTCGGGGAAGCTCGCGACGGCGGTGGGGTGGCAATTTGATTTTGCAACCTAGATAAAGAAGAGCTTTCTTCCTCGTTATTGGTTACTACGAGTTTGAACCTCCTCGCTCCTTAAACTCGGAAGAATTTCTCGGTACGCGATGGAACAGCCATGGGGATAGTTCCGCCGAACGTGAACTTTCTAATGCGATATACGCGCGCGCGGCGTAAATTACAGACGCGGCACGAAGATGCGTGACCGCGTGGTATAGATGCTCTCAGTGGTATCGAATGTTCGGCGAACGGCTGCCGTGAGATGGATAGCCTTGTGCCGGAATGAACCATCCCTGCAAACTGTGCAACGATGAATCATTGCCTGGAATAAGGAATGGGATGTCAAGGATACAATTCTCCCTCTTTCTCTCTCTCTCTCTCTTTCCGTACCTCTCTTGTTTCTATAGAGGGGAAAGAATAGTATTCCAATCTTTTTAGTTCTTTATTTAAAAATCTGATTTTTTCAGCTGATTTTCCGAAATAATTTCTCTCTTTTCGTCTTTTAACAAATTTTTTTCCCCCGAGTGTCGCTAAAATAAAACTATCTCCGAGCAAGTACGTCGGTAGCTCTAGATCGCTGAAATAAGAATTCGCGACCGTCAACGTAACGGATGTTCAGCCGGGCATCACCGTCTTCCTGCGAACGACGTGGGATCGAGAAAGAAAGTCCTCGGACTCTCTTCCGAAGTGCCGATGGAGTCGGCCGACCCAAAAACAAAGCCGTAACTCGATAGAGACGTCATCCTACCGTCAAGAAACTCGAGGTGACAAGAATAGGGTGACTCACGAAGGCCGTTGCCGCCGCCGCCACCACCAACGATTCTCTTCCCCCCTCGTTCCTTCCCTACCCTCTGTCCAGCGATCCCCTGCGCGCACCCACGACGTCTATTCTCACACTCCGCAATGACCTGGACGACGACGACGACGCTCGTCTTCTGGCCGACCACGAACTGTCCAACTGTCCAAGTGCCCATTTTCGCGCGGGCTCTGGCGGGACACCTCCATCTCTCTCCTATCGCGAATAATATCTCTCCAGGATACCGACAGGCATGTCTCGCGAGCAAGTCCTGACAAATACGTAACCGTGGCCCTCCCCTCCCCGCCGTAACATTCGAGTTTACTCTACCAGAATGTACCGCACACGGCACATATCTCGACGGGCGAATCTTTCGGAAGAATGGTAGCCCCGTCGGCTTCTATTGACGTTATGCTTGTCCGTCGTACATTTCCCATGTAACGACGTGGAAAGATCGTCCCCGCCTAATGACGTTACTCAGAACGACGGAACCTCGGTGGATTCAATTATGGCACACAATTGTGCCACGAAATGAACAAGGACACCGCGATGCGTTTCATTCGTTCGATTCTGATAGAAAGGGTTAAAGTAAAATGTGACAACTCTTTGTAAAAGAAATCGCGATAATGTTGAAGATGAAATAAATGAAAAACGAATAGAATAGATTGAAGAAGCGAGTATTATATGACGTATGTGGCATTCTCTTTAAATGTCGAACAACAAACATACACACGCACACATACATGCACGCACATATACGAACTCTTCCAAACTACAGGGAAATTAATTTTCTTAATGGCCGCGCGTGCGTAAAATTTCGTTTTCATTTATTAATTTCCTTAATGGCATAATCTTCAGTTTACATCCAATTGCTATCGCTATTTCTGGGGTCAGATCGCCAGGGCGAACGGGCGATGCGCATCCGCTTTAACGGAGCGGCTGTAAAAAATTAATTTTCTTAATGCAACACTATCTGCGAAATGGGGTGAATGCTGAGATTGCGAAATAATTAGTGTTTCCTCGGTTGGCGCCCGAGAACTGAAATTTCCAGGAAAATTCTCCCGGCATTAAGGCTCCGGTCCATACTGCATAAGTTCCATAGCGATTGCCCACCGGAATATTATATTATATATACTATATACGCTATGTGTACATAATTTTTTTTCCGCGGGTACATGGCGCGCGCGTATGTGCCGCCGCATGTAAAATCGCGAAACTTTTACGTTAACTGTAACGCCCTGGTTTTAAAGCCACTCGAGGTAGGTCAGTTCCTGGGATTGCCATTAACTAGATAATTATGCGCCTCGCAAACTACACAGAATTTTCCTACAATAATTATTCGATATTCTGCAATTCTTACGTCTTTATTTCATTTAAAACATTGATTTCTTTTATTTTATTTTTAAATTCCGGACGGCATCAATTGTTTTCATTCGCGAAAGACTAATTCGAACATTTTCTCTTATTGTCTGACGTACAAATATGTCAGAAAGAATGCAAATAATTACCCGTTAGAAACACAAAAATAAATGTGAACTTTGCGTTTTTTCTCGTGCAGCTTGTCATATGATTTAGTAATCATATTTCAAGATATTTTAATATTTTTTGTTCCATATAATTTTTTTAGATAAACATAAATCTATGAATATGTACATAATACTTCTACTTCTCATTAATAGTGACTTCATATTTGTTGATGCAATATCGATAATAATTTAAGAAAAAAGTAATTGGAAAACAAATATTATTCGACGTCTTCCCCCTTCATAACAGTTTGATTGCTCGCTTCTTTATATCACATCTGTGTGTAAGAACCAAATGTTTGGAAGCTTCTTTAAGGTTGAAAGGCATGTTTTTACATTCCGGTACCATTAAGAAAATGAAATTTGCAATGCAGATAGGCGAGATACTTCTACATTGACGTTACCGATTTTTTCAGTAGGAAAATTAAAATGTACCCTATATAACACGTTCCGCGCCCATCAAAAATCAAGCCAATCATTAGTAATCGCGAAAAGGGAAAGCGAAAGCGTGGACAGTTGAAACCGTCAAATGGTCGTTCATCAACCAAGAGCATCGCAAGGTAGTCCCCTTTATCCTCGACAAATTTGACGCTGATTATGACGCTATCAACTTACTTCTTCGAATAACGCGCGCTATTTGTGCCATCGAACTGTCGTCCTTTATGTGTCAAACCCTTTTCTCGAGATTATTTCGGATGGGTCAATCAGAATCAAGAGTTGCAGTCAACGAGGCGCCGTAAGTCTTCGGGAAACAAAGGAGGGAGACGGAGAGCGACGACGGGCGTAAGAAACGGCAGACTCCCTCCAGCAATCTCATGTCGCGACGTCGTAACTGCCTCGGATGTCCTATAGGTTCGTAACTGTTTCGGAATCTGGGGAAGGCGCTCGGCGACGGGCGTGAAGGGGTGATGGTTGGCACGGAGTACGGATACAGCGTAAATTGTTAAGGCGAGGCCTCGCCTAGTTATAAATTAGGAAAGAGGCAATCTCGCCCGGGTCGGATGTTTTCCCGCATTTCCCGCGTCCTTCCCGCGCACCGCCACCCCCTCGCGCTACCTCCTTGTCTCTTTGTACGAGGCTTTAGTACCGGTCATAAAAAAAGGAGGAAGAGCGAGCCGTCTCAGAAATCCAGCTGAAATTAAGCCCCACCGTATGGTTCCTCCAAAAAAAAGAGAGAGAGAGAGACAGGAGAAAAAGGAAAGAAAGGAAGAGATAGAGAGGAAGGAAAGAACACCGGGCCGGAAACTCCGCAGCGTCTTCCTCGGTGTGTCCTCCTTTCTTACCTAATCACAGTTAGGCCACCGTCGCTGTCTTTCGCGAGATTGTGTCGCGTTTGTGTGATGGTATCGCGGCAAAGCGCGCCCTTTGTCATGGAAAGCGGTTTAAGGAAAAGCCCGATTCGCAGGAAGTCGGAGACGCGTTCCCTGTAACTAAAGACGTCTTCAAGATTCTATAAGGGAGTCCGTACACAAAGAGACGAGTAACTATAACAAATAGTTATACTTATTTCCTCTTAACCACGGACAAACGCGAAGTATTTTTCTACGGATGCATCGGAATCTTGCCTACTGGGCAAGTTTTTAAGCTTATATTTGTTAAAAAAAAAATTAAACATTTATGTGTGTGAACTGTACAGATGAAATCGCGTTCTATCGTTTAAAGGCGTAACGTAAAATATAGGTCAGAAAATGAAGCGGTTTCATCATCGAACGACACGTACGCGATTAAAATGAGATATGAAAAGATTATTTACATACATGAGAACATATCAGACGGGAAATCTGATATTTAACTAAAAACGTGATTCAATTATATCAATTTTTTTTATCTATCTAATTCTACCCGGATCTTTTATTAGTTTTTCGAAATATATTCCTGACGTATATGCTCTGTGTCGTGGGTTCTTTTTTTTTTTGCCCAAAACGGATTTAAGCGGAGACGAGCAGAGGTATCACGCGAATATTCCATATCTCGTCGAACGTGCCCTTTGTTCGATTCGGATAATACGGGAGTGTCAGATTTCAATCTCTCGATGCGCGAGATACGTCGGGGCGTGCACGGCTCCTTTTTAATATCTCTAATATTTCCAGTCAATATTCCCCATTTATTCCCGATCCATCACTTGTCTGACGTGTAACCGGATGCCTCCCCTGCCCTCCCCTGCCACCCTGCCACCCTGATATAGAGTCAATCCGATATAGAGAGCGGAGTTCGAATTTCCCGCACCGCGCACCGTAAGGTGATCCGCTGTAAGTTGAGTGCAGAGGCAAATGTTTTCTTTCCAGATGGAAAATAACCAGCGTCGCATTTCCGGGCGGCACGTGTGTGTCGCGAGCGAGCGAGCACGCCAGGCACCATATCCCGCTGATATGGAAAAATAATTCCATCTCTCATAATTTTCTGCGGAGCTAGAAGAGCCCGTTTGGAGAATTTTCCGACTTGGCTTCCCAAGTCTGGAATCGATGTTAACCGAGACCGGTTTTCACTTTTCCGTTCTTAAATGTGCGAGATCTCTTGCACACAGCTGTGCATTTCTCTCATTTCTCCCTTCCACGATTTAATTAAAATGAAATGTGCAGTGAATTACGTCGCGAATGACGTATATTTTTATTTTGTCTTTTCGGACACATTCTCTGTTGGGTTTCCAAATAAGTTTACAGTAGAAGTAGCCAATTAAACGTTTGATCGTACGTAGAAGAAGAAAGATTGTTTCCGTAAAAGCGAGCTTACATCCTCATCGCCCAACCCGAGTGGATCACGACGCGCAATCTTGGTCGGACTCCCATCTCGAAAGCGTGAACGATAGAAAAAAGAGAAAAAGGAGGAGAGCTGGTCGCAGTGGCCGCTGCGGAGGGATCGCGATTCCATCCAGTGGTTACGCCCAGAACTAGTCAGGCAGTGGGTTGGCCCGATTAGGATCAGCCGAGAGAGAGAGGCCCGGAACGAGCCTCCGGTTATCCGACTCACGCGCGTCGTTTTCCCTCGCAAAAACGGACGTCCAACGTCTCCGTCTGCTGATCCGTACGTTGAATGTTCTCTTTCCGACTACGTGTCGGCGAACGATGGTGGGCATCGACGGTTATTCGGTGGAAATTTCGTCGGGGCAAACGGTCGCGGAACGAGGAACACGATTTCCACTTGCGTTGTACTTTAATCGGGAAACTCGACGGCACGGTTGTCCGAAATCCTGCGCGAAAACGAAAGAGAGTAAGGACCACCTTAGCTAAAAAAAATAGAAGAGTTACCTTTATTATTACTATATGTTTATACTACACAGATAACGTTTCGGTCGTAAACTTAACAAATTTTGATACCAATTTTAAGCAATACCTATTCCAATTATAAGCTCGAGATTTGTTTTAGTTTAATGTTCTTAGGAGTTTAGTTTTTCTATTTTGTATAATCATATTGCAGTATATAATTCATAATGTGTACAGAGATGATTTATTTCTTCATATTGAAGAAATGAATTGAATGCTTTTCAAACCCGACTTAAAAATGTGGCTTCGTACAAAATATTATAAGTCTACAATTTTACATCTTTGAATTATTTTTTTTTGTAGATTCATGAAACACTTATCTTCTCAAATGCAAAATTAAATAACTCACTTACATTTATTAATGTCTTAAGTTGAATTGTTTGTTATCCGATACAATAATTATCAATAGGATCTAAAAATTCTTTTCTGCTCCCTGATCTAAAAGCGTTGTCAGAAAAATGACCAATATAGAAAAATATGTTTACTTACCGGACTGCCCTTTCTCGACGCAATATCTTAAGAGTATGAGACGGGAATACCAAACACAGTTTATTTTCGGCGAAGCACACGAGGGCGGCAATCGAAGCGCCTGGCACTCAGCGCCGGCACGAAACAAGGCGCGGGCCATTTCCTGCCATCCCGGTAATCGACCCCAAGTGATTGGATATGGATTATAATGGAAGTTAGACTTAATGCCGATGTACTCTACCTTGAAGCATTCGCGGCGATATGCGATACCCGTAATCCTCGAACGCAGATTGAGAATTGATCGCTCGATAGAACGCATTCGATCGCTTCGTCGTGAATACACTGTCACAATCGCATAAAGAATTAAATAATCTAACTGATTAACTAATAAAACGAAAAAAAAATTAATTTTATGCTGTTGCTATAAAATATAAGAATCAATTGATATTATTGCAAGAAAAAAATAATTATTATATTATCAATATATTAATCAATCTTTTCGCTACATATGACGGAAAAGCTTTTGCGAAACTGTGGACAATGCAGTTATGATGCACTGCACTAATTTATTATTTCCATACCAATCAACGTAAATTTATTAAGAATTTACAGTGAGGGAGAAATCTCGATTGATTTTTCGCTCAAAATCGTATTTACTTTTATGGTTTCAATCCTCGCTGGACGATACGCCAACTGCTACTGTCACTGCTATTTAAGAGATGTGATATCGACTATTTCAAGCATCTTATCGTCGCTCTAAATGTCGCAAACTTTCTGCCGCTGAATTACTCTGATTCGGTTGACTTTCGGGCCATTGACTTTCGTTCCGTCGGCAGACACAGAAGTGTTGGCTAAATTAGGCGTAGCTACTGCGAAACATGCGCGCGTATTTGTGTATTTGCAAAACTAATCCACGCCGCTTGCCTTGGTGGGTAGCTTGGGGGAGGGGGAGGGGGTGTACTGAATCGTTTTCAGCAGACGAGCGGAGCGCAAGGAGTTTCCAATCTGGCCGCTGTCGTTTCCGGGAGAATTATGCGTTCCCTTGCTTAGAGGTAAGGTAATTAGTCCGGTCTGTTGAACATTAATACGATTATTTTACGTAAACGCCCTTTGTAGGAAGTTGTAATTGGATGAAGCTCCGTTTTACGTTTGATTCGCAGTCTTAACTCGCATCTGAATGTATGCATTATGCGACGTTAGCGATTAAGTGTTCTTGCGCTTTGTATCGTAGCTGAAGCGTAAGCGTGGTAAGATGATTACGGTAATGCGATTCGCGAAAAATTAATACGCGAGATATATACAAAATTAATAATGTATACTTCTGATATGACTTGTGGTAGCGTTGCGTGTTAAGTTAGTACAAAAGTTTGTCGTTTCTCTATCGAATCTTGAATGGAGCCATTGATTTAAACATAGAAATATCTCCTTTAATTAATTGAAGACACTAATGAATATTTGACTGATAAATATTACTTCCAAATATTTAATAATTTTATTCTTTTCTTTAATTGGCAAATGAAACAAATATCTCGTGTTTCACACGATATTAAGATTACTGTCTTTTATTTTGATAGAGAGATATTTATATATTTAACAGATACTTTCTATATACGCGACATTCTTTTTGAAAAGAAAGTACTTAGTAATTTCTTTATTCTCAAAGAAATCACTGATATATAATGGCCGCAAAATTCACTGACAATTTAATGTAATATAGATTATTTAGTTACAGCACGTGTGTACAGTAAAGTCCTTCAGAATCGCCGGGAAGCGGCGTGGATAGGGCCGTGAGCGAAGAGGAGAATTCTTTGAAAGTCCTCGAAAGTAATAGGCTGCCTCTCGACCCGAAGTATCACGAATTAGATCCCGAGATAATGCCGCTTCAGCGCTAATGAATCCAAACTATTGAACTCTAATTACATCCTAAAATTGCTTAACTACGCTGAAATCCTGATGAGGAAATGAGAGATGAAGTAGTTACAGAGCGAACTGGAGAAACAGAGGGGAAGAGAAAGAGAGAAGGAAGAAAATGAGACAATAAATGTTTAATGTAATATTGTAAATTTGTTCTACTATATCGCGATACGTTAATACACGCTGACCTTGCTTTCTGGCGAAACAAAAGCGCATTCTGTTTAAGTACACGAAAAAGAGTATAGAAAATTGAATTCAGCTAAGGTCGGTCGCGATAGTGGTGGGTGTAATCACGGTCTTTGCCGGTCCTTCTCTGTGACACAGGCTCGATCAGATTGGAACATTGCTATTCGGACTGAACACACAAACCCGCCCGCCGTGAAAGTTGTTCCGCCGACCAAGATTCGCCGGTGATAACAGTCGTTCCCTAGGAATGGCCGCTTATCTGACGATTTTTTCAGGGTTTTGCACCGCAATCGACCGGAAGACCCGACCCCCCCTTCCCGCCGAGCCGAAATTAAATGCTCGAATTCTGAAATCCTGTAGGTCGAATTGGATATAAGCTCGCGGCGCCTCGTTAAGGTAACCGCTCTGTAATTGAATCGCGCGGGATTTAGCTACATCGGGAGTTACATTATTTATCACGTAATCGAGATCCGCTAAGCGGAATTCACATAAGTTAGTCATGTAAAAATTAATATGTTTTATGTAGTATCCTTATTGTACGCTGGGATATCTTATACTCAAACTTCTTTTTCCGCGTCGGCGGCATAAATATCATATAACAACTCTTACCTTTCCTTCCGTCTAAGTTTTAACATCTGACATGTACTTGCTTTCAAACTCCGACTATCAGCTCTATCATATGCCGCTTTCTCTTCCGGCATTCTCACACTTCTCACACTTTTCTCTCTCGAGAATAATCCGTTCCTTTTATGAAAGCTCGTTCTCAGTTCTTTCACGTGTTATCTCTCTTCGCCTCCTTCGCTACCAAAACATCATCTCGGCAATCCAATCGCGAAATTTGCCAGTTCAACCGCTTTCAGCCGCGCAAATTTTTCGAGCACCATTATCGCCGCAAATAAATGAATATTTATGGCCTGCGATTTATGCAAAATGAAATTGCGGCTTAATAGAAGACCCGATACTGTCCGTAACGTTGTATTAAATCCGCGGAACGAAAAGCCTGCTTTTCGCACGGAAAGCAGAAAGAGCACCTCTTACTTAGAACGAGACGATGAGAAGAAAGGTAAGTCACGAGGGGGAGACGCGGGACGGGGGGGGGATAAGAGTGACAAGAGTAAGAAGAATGGCCCGCGACGACACAGTGGAGAGCAAACCATAAAGATAGTAAAGAGAGCCCCGCGCACACCAATTCCACGGTCTATCTAGACGACACGAGACGAGAGACCTTTGAAAATCGCGTTGCGCCTTTTATCAAACACACAGCATGGTTGCGCCTTCGTCGCGATTCAAGCAGGCTAAAGAAAACTGTGTCTGAAAGCTCCTCGCGAAAGGATCTTCGATGGACGACGAGGACGACGACGATGAGCCATCGTTTGCGACTTCGTTTAAGAGTTCCCATCGGAGAAATTCCCGCTGTTTCGTCGATTACGCGACGTTAAACGTTAATGAAACATCTTTTCTTGTTAATTCTAACTCAATTTTCCTCACAACTTTTAACCTAATTTAATTGTTATATATAGAGA